AAATACAAAAAATTAGCCAGGCGTGGTGGCGGGCGCCTGTAGTCCCAGCTACTCGGGAGGCTGAGGCAGGAGAATGGCGTGAACCTGGGAGGCGGAGCTTACAGTGAGCCAAGATCATGCCACTGTACTCCAGCCTGGGCAACAGAGTGAGACTCCATCTTATAAATAAATAAATAAGATGTAAATTCACACACATCACTTAATGACTTTCCACTGCATGGAGAATAAAATCCACAGGCCTCTTTTCAACCTCAGATGGGGATCTGCCATCTGCCCAGAACAGACACTTTTTTCCACTGGTCCAGAGTAAGCACAGTCCAGATGGCCTTGCCCTGGCGCAGGCCCAGGAGTAGGGGTGTCCCATTACTCTTGTGGTTGCCTGTCACCAGTCTGTACTGTAGTTAGGAGCCCATGTGGGCTTTCCCACTATGCCAGGTCTCAGCCCCCAAGGCGCTGTGTGAGCTTGGCCCAGCCTTGCCCTTCTCTGGGCCAAGTTTCCCAGGTAACTGTAAGAAGGGGCACCAGGCCTGTATCCTCCCAGCCCTGCTCTCCGGGGGCTCCTCGCCCAATCCGTTTCTTCACCACCTATGTGGTGCCCAGCACTGAACAGTACAGGTTAGTGGGCACCATTATTCTTGGGGTCAGTAGGAACTCACTAACAAGTGGTATTCACTGGCAGGCCCATTTCCAACGTGCAGCCCCACCTCCTGTCAATTCAGGACTTCTGAGAGGTGGCAGGGTTTGTGAGCATATGAGTGGAGGTGGATGAGAGGGAAGGGTGGGAGGAGGCCCCTGGGTTACAGGCTGGAAGCTAAGGGTCTGTCTTGGTGTCCCCACCCACCAACCTTCAGGCTTCATCGGTTATGCCCCCAACCTCAGCAAACTGGTGGCCGAGTGGGAGGGCCAGGACAGCGACAGCGACCAGCTGTTTTACACCAAGATCTTCTTGGACCCAGAGAAGAGGGTAAGAGGCAGGGGTTGGGCCAAAGGAGAGGGGACTGGGGATCCACTGGCCAGGCTGCATGGGAACAGCTCCTCTCAGGCCTGAACCTCCGGGTTGGTATCTTAGAGGCGGCATTGTTCAGTGGTTCAGAATAAGGACTTCAGGGCCAAGGTGCCTGGGTTCTAATCCCAGCTCACCGTTTACTAGTTGTGTGACATCGGGCAGCTTCTCTGTGCCTTGTTTTTTCCATTATATAATGCAATAATGGGCCAGAGGCAGTGGCTCATACCTGTAATCCCCGCACTTTTGGAGGCCGAGGTGGGTGGATCACCTGAGGTCAGGAGTTTGAGACCAGCCTGGCTAACATAATGAAACCCTGTCTCTAAATACAAAAATTAGCCGGGCGTGGTGGCGGGTGCCTGTAATCCCAGCTACTCAGGAGGCTGAGGCAGGAGAATTGCTTGAACCTGGGAGGTGGAGGTTGCAGTGAGCCAAGATCGTGCCATTGCACTCCAGCCTGGGCAACAAGAGCAAGACTCTGTCTCAAAAAAAATTAATTAATTAATTAAAAAAATAAAAAAATAAAAATTAAAATAATGCAGTAATGATAGTACTTTCTCACAGAGATGTTGTCAGGATTAAATTGATTAATATATGTAGAATATTTTATTTCTTTATTTGAGATAGGGTCTCACTGTCACCCAGGCTGATGTGCAGTGGCGGAAACATAGCTCACTGCAGCCTCAGCCTCCCGGACTCAAGCGATCCTCCCACCTCAGCCTCCTGAGTAGCTGGGACTATAGGCATGCGCCCCCTTAAAATTTTTTTATAGAGATGAGATTTTGCTGTGTTACCCAGGCTGGTCTCAAACTCCTAGGTTCAAGTGATCCTTCTGCCTCAGCCTCCCAAAGTGCTGGAATGACAGGTGTGAGTCACCGCACCCGACCCATGTGTAGAATATTTGGAGTAGTGGCCAGGCGCGGTGGCTCATGCCTGTCGTCCCAGCACTTTGGGAGGCCGAGGTTGGTGGATCACCTGAGGTCAGGAGTTCGAGACCAGCCTGCCCAACATTGCAAAACCTCATCTCTACTGAAAATACAACAACAACAAAAATTAGGCATGGTGGTGCACACCTGTAGTCCCAGCTAGTCGGGAGGCTGAGGCAGGAGAATTGCTCGAACCCAGGAGGCAGAGGTTGCAGTGAGCCAAGGTCATGCCACTGCATTCCAGCCTGGGTGACAAGAGGGAAACTCTGTCTCAAAAAACAGAATATTTGGAGTAGCTATGTGCTTGGCAGGCACTGGTTACTCTTACGGCCGTCGTTGTTGTAGGTGAGCCGGCTGCATTCTTAGATTCCTTCCAGTTCAGAGTCCCTGGTTTTCTGTGAATGGAGCCACTAGACTGTAGACCCCAGGAGCTTGGCTGCTGGCCTTCTCTGGGCACCCAACTGCCCTGATGTGATATGGCAGAGTAGGTGTGGGGAGAAAGGGCCGAGGCTAGGGGACAGATTCCCCCCACTGGGTGAGACTGTGAGGGGAATTCCCCCCACTGGGTGAGACCCCCCCAGGGCCTGTCCCTGCTGCAGCCTGGTACCCTCTTTCGTGCAGGAACAGATCAATATCACCCTGGACCACCGCTGCCGTATCTTCCAGAACCTGGATGGAGCTTTGGGTGAGCAGCCCCCATGGGGAGGGGTGGATCCTGAGAGGGGTGATAGGAAGGATTCCTGGCAGAGCCTGAGCCCAAGGAGGAGAACTGGGCTGCTTCTTTCTGGCCATTGTGCTGGGAGGTCACTGGGTTCATCCCTAGGTCCCCAGGGACCACTTGGATGTCCCGGCGCAGAGCCGTGTCTCTCCTGGGGGCCTGGGACAGGTGAGCATTCGGCCTGGGAGGAGTTGGGGGATGTGCACAGCAGGTGCTGGACCCCCTGCCCTGCATACGAGGTCCTTGCAGGTGGGCGCTCCTTCCCTGCTTTCCCGGCCCTCCCACCTTCCAGGTGAAGCAGTCCTAGGCTGGGGGCAGAAACTCAGCTGGTGGCATAGGCAGCTTGGGAAGAAAAAGGCTACTTGACCCTTGATGCCACAAACATCCCTGGGTCTGGCCTCGTGTCTCTGGCTGGTGATGACATTGCTTTGCCGTAGGTCTTCCTGAGTGATCTCAAGCAAGTCACACCTCCTCCCCACAGGGGACTCAGTTTTCTTATCTTTCCAAAAGGGAAGTGAACCAGATCCACTCATTGCTGACTTTGTGGCTAAATGGCCCTTTTGAGAATCTGATGAAAGCTACGGCTCTGCTCCCAGAAAGATGCAGAAACAGTGTGCCCTTTGCCTGTGGTTTCTGGGGGTTAAGAAGCACTAAGTTCAGATCCAGGCAGGTCAGGAGCTATCTGTTTTCCTTTTTTTTTTTTGTCTTAAGATGGAGTCTTGCGCTGTCGTCCAGGCTGGAATGCAGTGGCGAATTCTCAGCTCACTGCAACCTCTGCCCCCCAGCCTCCCAGGTTCAAGCAATTCTCCTGCCTCAGCCTCCCAAGTAGCTGGGATTACAGGCGCACGCCACCATGCCTGACTAATTTTTGTATTTTTTTAGTAGAGACGGGGTTTCACCATGTTGGCCAGGCTGGTCTCGAACTCCTGACCTCAGGTGATCTGCTTGCCTCGGCTTCCCAAAGTGCTGAGATTACAGGCGTGAGCCATCGTGCCCAGCCCTATTTTAATTTTTAAAATAGAGACAGGGTGTCGCTATGTTGCGCAGGCTTGTCTCAAACTCCTGGGCTCAAGTGATCCTCCCACTTCGCCTCCCAAAGTACTGGGATTACAGGTGTGAGCCAGCGTGCCCAGCTGAAATACCCATTTTCCTATGTGTAGACTAATAGGGTCAAACATGGGTATTGGGGGCTGGGCACAGTGGCTCATGCCTGTAATCCCAGCACTTTGGGAGGCCAAGGCGGGTGGATCACCAGAGATCAGGAATTCGAGACCAGCCTGACCAACATGGCGAAACCCTGTCTCTACTAAAAATACAAAAATTTGCTGGGCATGGTGGCATGTGCCTGTAATCCCAGCTACTCGGGAGGCTGAGGCAGGAAAATCACTTGAACCTGGGAGGTGGAGGTTGCAGTGAGCCACTACACTCCAGACTGGGCAATAGAATGAGACTCTGTCTCAAAAAAAAAAAAAA